AACCCGAACCCCAAACCCGAAACCCTAAGCCGCAAAACCGTAGAAGGTAGGCTTTTGCCGGCCTCGCTGGTGGAGATGCAGGCCTCAGGAGTGACTTCACCACGTTGCTTTCATAGGCTCCATGCGGTTTGGGGGTTTAGGGTGAGTTACTATGATGGTCAGAATAGGGTTTGGGCGGTATACTATACCATGATTATAACAAGGAACCTCCATAAGGCCTATTCTAATCATTAAGGCCCATATGCTAATCAACTGTGCCTGGCAATGGAGTCCGACCATCGCGCCAAGCAGTCCATACAGCCACGCCCAGGACCTGGCACAGTGGTTCAATCTCAAAAATTCGTTGTAGGGGCTTATGGTTTAGGGCTCAATTAGGGTTCGCACCGACACAACACTCCCAGACTCTAAGCAGGCGACTCTGCATTTGCCGCTGGGTCCGTCTCGGTCGGCTTAACCTGCGGGTGCGAGCTGGGCAAGACAGCAACGGAAAGTCCGAGCGTAGTCACGACACTCGGACCGTTCTTTTCACCATCTCTGTCAACTTTCAGCCCCTTCAAAACGGCTGGAGTTCCTCCCGGCCTGCCCTTCCTGGCTGAGCTTCTGCAGCGCACAACCGTCTTGGTCGCGCGGAAGAAGCCTCAGAGAGCATCGACGCACGGAGCGTGCAAACCTCGAGTGTTCCGACTGCCGAAAGCTTTTGTGCTATACTATAATATTCTGTACTATACTATGCTGGTCTATACTATACTATACTGCCACGGCACGAATTTGTCTGTGGGATGGTGTCGGCACACAGGTGTCGGCCGATCCAGCGCAGCCATGCCTGCCAATGAGGCTGGAGAGCAATCGAGAGTCCACTCTGTCACAGGAGAGCTGCCAACTTCCTCATCCCTAGCACCCAACTACCTCCCTAAACCCTAAAGACTAAGCCCTAAACCTTCTAAACCCTAAACCGGTACAGGATATTGACGAGGCGCGGATAACGCCAACTTCCTCCCCTCCACGCCGCGAACCCTACACCCTAAACCTTGGATACTGCCCCGTATCAGTAACAGTTGGGTAATATTCATAAACGGGATGTATAAGGCCCTTAATAGTAGCCCTATTATAGACTGTTACTGATTGGGGCAGTACCCGACCTAGACCCTAAACCAACTCCGAAGAGGCTGCCTGCGCCTGTTGCGCGGCACGGCCACACGGATCTCCTGCAAAGGGTAGAGGAAACAGAAATACTATACTTTTCTATACTATACTATACTATACAAACACTACACTATACTATGCTATGCTACACTGTACTATACTATACTATACTATGCTATACTATACTAATTATACTATACTATACTGTACCTATAATAACGAACCGCACCACTTCAAACATCGTCCCCCTTCCCAGTCTTCCTGTCCACACAGCGGCCATGACGCTGCAGGCAAACTGCGCTGCAATATGCTGCAATTGTCCCCTCCGTCCGTGGTTTGGGTGTGGTTATATGGAAGTTGTGGCGAGAGCAGGTCTTCCGGGCTGTATCGCAGTACTCGCGAAACCTCCATCCTCTGATTCCGGGCACTGGCGGCTGCAGTCGGCCGTGATCCAGACACAACTGTCATAATGAGCACCCTCGTAAGGGAATGGTCCAGATTCCCTCTTTTAACCGTCTTTTTCCGGATGCTGCGCCACCGTCGAGGCTCCAAGTTGGGACTATGGCAAAAGCACTTCTCCCTCACCGTCATGTTCCGGGGGCGCGCAGGCTTTGCCGAGGGTGGCCAGCAGTGAAGGCTGCGCTAGATCAGGGCTCTTGGTGATGGCACCCGAGGAAACGTGGCGAAAATGGTGGCCTTGTCCTGGTGTCTCTTGCAGTAACTGTTGCACGGTTAGAACCCCTACACCTAACTGCAGCAATTGGGGGCTCAGTTCGAAGACATTAACCCTAAAACTCTGAACTGTTGGAGGCTGGGATTCTAGCAGCTGGTGACGCGCAGATGCGGGTGTTCTTGGTCCTAGGACTCCCTGCGGTTCTGGGTCCTGATACTGAGGATCCTACCTGTTCCTAGGCCACATGCTCCTCATACACGCTCCACTGCAGATGCACCCCCGGAGCGCACCCCACCTAAGCTGGGTGACGGATCCCTCTAAGCTACCTCTCCTTCTGGAATCCGTCTATCTCCGCCCCCCTTCACCATGCGGTGACGAGGAACTCACCAATGTGCCGCCGTCGTCGCTGGCTGCATCGGCCTTCATCGCCAGGCGAAGATTCTGGGTGGGGCCCTTTTTGGCGCCCAAGGCATTACGTTCACACTCTCCTCCTCGCCCTTACTATGCATTTCAAACAACAATAGTAACAATACTAACACTAAGCATGATACCAATAATAGTAGCAGTATTAATTATAATATTAAGAATAATAAGAAGAATAGATTGAATTCATCGCCATAACTTGCTCTGAGGAGCTCTCCGTCCGATGTTCTTCGTCCTGCCCTTGCTTCACAGCTCCATCACAACGACCCAACAGGACGACTACGGTTCTTTGAGCGGTTTAGGGTTTAGGGTTTAAGGTTTAGGGCTCTCCCGTTGGGACGCTTTCTACATGCTCACAACTAAAGTGCCAACGAGGCAACGACTTGCACAGAACAACAGCTGAATCAGTCGCGGCAAGATGCTGTGATACCCAGGAAGATACTGGCGATTCTTCTTTGCTGCAACGGCTGCGAGCACGACGGCGACGACGACCCGCAAGACACTGATGACGATGGTGCTGGTGCGGGTGATGGTGATGATGACGATGGTGCTGGTGCTGGTGATGGTATGATGTTGGTGATGATGCTTTTGGTGATATGGTGGTGATGATGATGGTGGCGTCGAAGACGGTGTGATGACAATGACGATGATCGTGATGGAAGCAATCTTTAACGCTGCCAAGATCATGACCGCCGTGATGTTCTTACTGGTCTGCTCCGCTTCCATCAGCGGCATGTCTTCCTTATCCTTCCGGCTTTGCACATGCAACGGCAATCCTTGCCACCGTGCTGCGATTACTGCTTCTCTGACAACGACAACCACACAACACATTGAAGACCACGACGACACCCACAACGATGTCGACGATGACCCACCAGCACCCCGAGGATGAGAACTATAGCTTGCTAATGCTACCCCTACGACGAAACACTTCTACTCTAGCTACGGCACCAGCGGCGATACGTTCAAATCCAAAGAATGGGCAGAGGCGATGAGAAGCAAAAGTCGTCACGCTCTTGAGTTTGAGGCCAACTGAGAAATCAAAACCAAGAGTTCAAGCAATGTATGGGTCGTAATATTTGGAATATGGTCTTGGGGTTTATTGTACTATAACTACAATAAGGAAACCCCCAATGTAGTATTGGTAGCTTTTCAAGCCCCTCTACATGAGCAGTCCAAGGTCTTCATCCTTACAAGACGAAGAGGGCAGCACTGAGCACACTTAGGAGGGGACCAACTGCAGCAAGCCAATCGTCACCCTCTTTAAAAATAACGAAAAGGCAGCATTGTCAGGAACAGAAGCTGCGTAACTGCTGAAACCTATCAAACAACCCTACGGGTAGCATCCCTATCGATGCTACATGAAGACAGGGTTTCTCTCCAGACCCTACAAAACAAGGTCGCAGTAGGTACGTCGCAGTAGTTTGAGGTGCAGCAATAGGCAAAGAGCGCAAAGCAAACTACGAAGAGTATAGTAGAGTATGCTATAGTATGGTATTGCAATAGTATGGTTTTTATGGTATAGTATGGTTTTTATG